TAATAATAATAATAATAATAATAATAATAATAATAATAATAATAATAATAATAATAATAATAATAATAATAACATATTTCACGCTATAATATATTGCGTGTACCAAATAACTTGAAAAAACAACGCCAAAGCCTAGGACCGATTTTTAGTAGATCAGTACTGCAGTTTGTAAAATAAAATAAAAACAAAACAAAAAAAACATTTAATATATCGATGATTTTGTTTTGTCTATCAAAGTTTATAGGATGTGAATTTGGCTGATTAAAACAGGCGTAGCGAATAATTATCATAAAGGTATTTTAAATTTCTTTAAACTTACCTACTAAATAATTTTGTGAGGATTTGCAGAGAAGTATGTTTCTGTATGTTTTCCTGTGAGACAGGTTGAGGTTAAACCATCTGTGCTCATGATGTTTCTGGCTGACTGCCTGTAACTCTTATATTCTCCGTCGTAATAGTGTTTGGTCAGTATGTATATAAAAAACACACTAGTAGGCCTAGTAGGCCACTAGCTATAGAAAAAAAATGTCATAATAGATGTGTGTGTGGCTATTCATAAGCGCAGACCAGCTTTAGCTCCTATGTGTTTCAAATGTAATAGTCAGACATACAAAAAGATGAAGGTATAAGGAAATATTTTTAGAAACACTCATCTACTCCCTGCGCGTTGATTTTTGTGTTGGTTGTTTTGTTTTACATCAATGATCAAAATCATCAATGATCAAAAAAATACAATACACATCCAGATAGCATTTTATAATGTTAGTATTAAAGATGGATTGTGCCATCAGTTTATTATTATCATTATTGTTATTATTCTTTATTATTTTTATACTAAAGAATCCTTATAAATTTTCTGTATTATTATTTAAGCCTATTTCTAACAGGTTAGTCAAAGTTACATACATAATGGGAAAATAGCCCTTCCTTTTTTTGGATGAGCGGCAGGTTTTGGAAATTTTACTTTTTTTATATAGTTTTAACATTTTTATAGAATATAATCGCTGTAGGCCTTTTTATCGACAGGCGAGAGTGTAAAATTAAAGAAACGTCATTTTTAAAGGCTGTAGAGTTTGAGTATTTCTAATGGGATTCAGTTGATTAAAACGGGAAATTTATGCGCATGTTGCATAAAATATCGGCTTTCTTTTGGACTTATGGCTGTCCGTTTCGTCCTCAGTGCATATTCATATTTCCGCTTTGCTTTATTTGCTCTTACTGCAGGCCCAAGGACGCGGAAATTGAAAAAATCCAAAAGCAGCAAAGAGGACAAACGGCCTCGGACGGCCTTCACGGCCGAGCAGCTCCAGAGGCTGAAGACGGAGTTCCAGGTGAACCGCTACATCACGGAACAGCGGCGGCAGTCTTTGGCCACGGAGCTCAACCTCAACGAATCTCAGATCAAAATCTGGTTTCAGAACAAGCGAGCCAAGATAAAAAAGGCCAGCGGCTTTAAGAACGGCCTGGCGCTGCAGCTGATGGCACAGGGACTATACAACCATTCCACCACAACCATCCAGGAGGGCAAAGAGGACAGTGACTGAGGAGCTGAGCTGTTGATTGGACACTGCTTCTGATCCTCTCCTTAACATTAACTGACTCTTCTTAGAGGAGGCAAAAAGACTAGTGACACAAACCAAAGATTTTCAACAGGACATCTGTTAAAATGATGCAGCTCATGTTCAGCTTCAGGTCCCACAGAACCCAGGAGAATAGTCCAGTTTGGCAGCAACAATCCTTACACGTTGGACACTAATAGTCCTCTAGGATGGTTGGATGGACAAGAGAAGATATGCAGCCAATTCACTGAAAAAGCTGCAACTATCCAGAGGGGCCATTGCCTTTTCACAATCAGCTGTAAGCTCAATGTTTTTTTTATTATTATTGTTAGGTTTGTCCATGTTAAGATTACTGCTGTTAGTACTTGGATTATCTTAATCCAGCACCATTTAGAAATTATTTCAGTTGGACAATAAAAAAATCCCAATAAGCCTAATAAGATATAGCCCTACAAACGTCAAAACTAAACACGAACTGCTAAATTAATTAGGCTACCAGTTTATTGTTTAGAAATAATACATTATTTGGCAGAGAGTTAAGTTACAGTAACAGATAGCCTACTAAACAAAACGCTAATGCTCATCATTTGAAAAAAAAAAAAATAAAAAAATTATAGGTTCTGTTTGTAATTTAAATGTGAGTATTACATAATTCGTTTAAACTTTAATGTAGCTAATATTGTATGCCAATTTATACAATTATTTTCCATAACGCAAGAGGTTCGGATCAGGACTGTTGTAGAGATACAACTACAGAAAGATAAAGCCATGT